AGCACCTCTCCCCCTTTCTACCATAACTAAGTAGCTGTGAACTAGGGGAAATGTGAATTCATTATTTTTTGTTGGTCATGGGATTTGAACTCAGGGTGTGTGGTGTCCCAGAGTGCTTTTGTTCAAGGTTAGCACTGTACCACTTTGAGCCACAGCACCACTTCTGATGTGAACATTTTTGAAGCTTGGCTTACCAGAGCACCAAGTATTTGAAAATTAATGATGAAGCTAGTCATTCTAACCAGCATGTCAGCCATTTGTAAGTGTGTTTTATTGTTTACAGGATCTTATATTCAAGCATATGTCTGAAAAGCTTCTTCGTCTCTGGATTTTTTTTGGTGAAATTTTAAGAAATATCCACACTATGTGCTTAAAATAGATTTATTGTGAAAAATGCTATGTGTTGTTTATGACTGTTTCAGTTCAATTTGGTAGGGACTTAAATAGGTGCTTTTGTTCTTTGAATGACAGTTGTGGAGTATCTCTTGGCAGAGACCATTTTATCCCCATTTCTGAGGTGTGACATCAATCCTCATTTCCCTTTGATAGTGAGGAGTGGCAATAAGTACAGAAGCCGAAAATTTTTTGTGTTTTCTTCCTGCTGTTCCCTTTTTTGCTTGCAACATATACTAGCATGTGAAGTTTGGAATTCACGGTTGTTGATTAGTACCTTGGTCTAGAAGAATACTGAAAGCAAGGTTGACCAGAAGTCTAATTCCCCAGACTTATTGTTGTACTTAAAAGGTTTGGGGTAATTCTCCATAAGAACTTTCTCTAAAGTCTATAAGATTTTAATTTTTTTTGAAATTTTAGGCAAGAATTAGAAATGAGAGGAGCTAGATTGTATTAGTCTACAGCCATACTACCTGGGTTGTTTAGCTGGTTCAGTCAGGCTGTTTTTTAAGAAACAGGAAAATATTGTTGATGATTGTCTTGAAGAAGTAGAAATTATGTCTCTAGTGAGAATTGTTATTAAAAGAAAAGGGAATGGTGAGCGAAACAATGAGTTGTAGGTGCTGGTGAGAACCTCTCTACAGCAGAGAAAGGAGCGTCAGTGGTATGGTCAGGTTTTGTGCTTTTAAGCACACTGCTCTCTGTGTACTGGTATATGATCCGGGAAAGTACTCAACCATTCTGGGTGTGTGAACACTTTTGCAAATGACTCATCCAATCTAATCTCAGGAGTAGTTCTGGGTCTTGAATCAGATCATGTGACAGTCAAATAACCTCATACTTTAAATAAATTAAGAAACCATCCAAATTATTCCTAGATCCAAAAACACAGATTCTGAGAGTGATTTAGAGGGTATGTGGCTATGTTCTGGATGCTGTAAAGATCTAAGGTGAGATGAGTTTTCCTTTAAATTTAGTTTTTTTTCCTTCAAATTCAAATTCTATTTAAAAAATTTTGAACTCAAACTGCAAGATTTATGAAAATGCTTACAATTAATAGTCATTGAGTCTTTGGTCACAATTACAGATGATACTTAGTTCCCAAATATATACATAGGCTAGTGTTTATGTTATATGTCCAGTTCAAAGAGAACTCAGAAGCAGGAAGCAAGTAGTTGTCTTTAGAGATACAACAAATAGTAGCTTCAGGCTGCTCTCACCATTTGTGAAAACACATTTATTGTTTGGTGGTAGGAACAAAATGTTGCCATAGCAACCATGGCAACTTTGGGTATCTGGCCTGTTAGCTGTAATTCAGGGAGCATCTTCAACAGCAGGAGTAGCATCCTTGGCAATTATCACTCAGGGAGTGGCCTTCCATTCTAAGAGCTTTAGCTGAGACTCTTGGGTTTAGAATATTTTTAACTTGATGTGTTAATGAATGCTAAGATTGACTATTCCATTTTGGCTAATTTCAGGAGGATTAATAAACTAAAGTTTTTACTGTGGACAAAAGAGAGGTGTGATTTTCTTTAGACAGATTTGAAGAAATGTTTTTAGCACTAAATCTCTTGTATTTTTTAAAATTTTGTATTTGTTTAATTTGACTGGGTTTCAGTAGCCCATTCCTTTGTGATACTATTTTATTTTCCAAGAAATTCTTATCATTTCATTGTTTTTCCCATCATCAGTATAAATTGTTATTATATTCAAATTGTAACAAATAAAATGATTCTAAAGCATGCTTAAGAAGTCTACTTGTGGAGTATTGGAAGTAAGAGGAATGGCAAGGCCTGAAGATTATCATTTCAGAAATAATTATGATCAAGCCAAAAGCAAAAGTTCTATTGCATTTCTAGCACTCAAATTCCCATATATATTATTTTACTGAAATTGCTGTGTATAGCCTGTTCTAAAAAGTAAATCACACATGAATAATAAAATTCTTAGTTTATACACAAGGTCATTCAGTGAGAAAATTTTGTATGCAAAAACCAAATAACTACAGAATTACTCATACTTTACTCAGAAGGCACCTGGTAATTTTTCTATCATATTAAACAATCATGCTTTAAAAAAAATTGTTGAACAATTTTGCTTTTCTATCCCAACACTTAATCTGTTACAATATAGAAGTTTCTGAAATGGTAGCAGGAAGAACAGGATATGAATGATGAGAAAATGGAAAAATTATTTTGTATCTCTCTCCCTCCCTATGAGATTTAAGAAGTTAGGAAAAGGTAAAGGGAGTAAAGACTTGCAGATACATTGAGGACAGTAGAGTAGGTAATAAATATACACTTGTATAGCTAATATCTAAGTAAGACTGCTCAAATATACTTTCCTGGGGACTTCTCTCATTTTCTGCAGTTTTAAGAGTCCATTTTTTTCTGTTACAGAATAATCGTGAATAGCATGAGGTTCCCTCAATGTGTCTGAATCCCAGTTGCTAATGTTCTAAACCTGTTAGAACTTGCTAGACATCCTTCTTCACCTATATAATAAGAATACTGCATACATTTTTAGGACCTCTGGATAGTTATTAAATAGACTAAACTATAGTAGAAATGAATTTCTATGGACAATGGTTTAAACATGAGATATTCAGTTCTTATATATGTTTTGTGTTAATGTATACACATGAATGTTAATATGAGTACATAGGTATTACATCCATATAACAATGAAGAGATCCAGGATCTTTTCTTTCAGGGTTCTGCCATTACCTTGTCAATAGTAGATAAGCACAAAAGCAAACCAACTATGCTGGATAAAAGTGTCACATTCTTATTCCCAATTGCATTTTTGTTATAACATAACGTAGTCACATGGCTATAGTTGCAATAACAGCTATTTGAAGCTAAAGTTTTAAATGGTGCACCCATTATTATGGAAGAAAGAGAAGATACTTATTACAGTACCAGTAGATTTAGTGACTATGTGCACATATTGAAATCTTGTATGATAAGGGACTGTGTAGTATAAATAGAGCTTAGAAAAGCACTGAGTTTGAAGAAAAAGATCTAGGACTGAGGGTATGATGAAGGCAGTAAAGATTCGGACTAGTATGCATAAATCCCTGGGTTCAAAGTTATGCGCGCACACACACACACACACACACACACACATCCACATTCACACACACACACACACACACACACACACACTATCTGAATGGTCCCTTTTTTAACTGATAGCAAGAAAGATGACTGTAGTACCACTGAAATGATTTTCAATGACAGAAATTGGAAAAAATAATTTATTAATTATTCCTCTAAATAAAAATTTTAATTAATTCTCCAGCCTTACACCGTAGGCAAAGTGGTCAACAAAATGGGTTTCTTTATGCTATTCCTACCTATATCATAAAGCAACCTGTTATAGCTTGCCTTTCTTCAGATTTGCGAACTCTTCAGTCAGTAGAAGTAAATATTGACTTTTTCTTTCGTGAAATGGAAACAGAAAACATAAGTCACAAATCTTCACATTAAATGAGAGCCAATATTGACTCCAAAGTTCAAGTGTGATAGATTACAAAATTTAGGGACCAAATGGCTCTTTTCATAAGTTGAGATGCTTCTCTATGTTGAAGACACGGAACCTCATGTGTATCACAGAAAGTATATATGGTGTTCTTTACCCTGGTTTATCACTACTCAATTACCCATATTTTCCCCTGGGAATAGAACTACCTTTACTTCAAATTTCAACTCTCTGTTATTTCTATAGGTGGCCCTTCTGATACCTTCTGGCACCTGCAGTCTGTCTCTGAGCTCATGTTCTCTTGTGTCTACCACTTAAAAAGTCTTCCTTCAGTTGTGAAGTTCGTTTTTGACAAAATGACTTGTACATCTCTTTGTTGCAATGGGTCCACCTGTATCCCTATTTTAACGATTTGTTTGAAGGATGGGAAGGGATGGGAAGGGGAAACAAAGGAGGGGGCTACAATGCTTGATAAGAAATGTACTCATTATCTTGCTCATATAATTGTAACACCTCTGTACAGTATTTTCACAATAAAAAAGTCTTCCTTCATATCAACATTGCATGTTTTTGTTTGCCTGTCTCCTTTGTTCTTTCTCTCTTTCATTTCATAGAACTCCTGGTCCTGATGCTCAATGTATGATGGTTGTATGAAAGAATCTTGTCCCTTGGTGTGTATTCACATCTCTCCCCACAGTAAAAAGTTTTGGCCATGGATATTTCATAGAGAGATAGTGAACAAAGAAAGGAAAAGAAGATGAGGAATAAAGAAGAATAAAATAAGTAAGAAAAAGAACAAAGAGAGCAGATAGCAGAGCAAAAATAAAGGTGGTTTATCTGTATGTAAAATCAAATGCTAGGATTATAAGAAAAAAATAAGAGACAAAAAAAACACTAGGAATTTATAAGTTGAAGTTACCAATAGTTGAGGGAGGAAATATGATGAATACTCATTCAGAGTTAAGTCCAAGGCAGAGAAGGATGGGTTATATTTTGAGAAGCAAGAATGTCTTAGCCAAACATTATTTCATTGATCTTTAGCAGATGAAAGTTGTGGCTTTATGAGATTTTACTACAATCTCTCTCTCTCTCTCTCTCTCTCTCTCTCTCTCTCTCCCCTCCAGGAACTGGTGGTTGGTCCCCAGCAGATTCAAGTGCCCAACAGTGGCTCCAGATGGACCTGGGGAACAGAGTGGAGATAACAGCAGTGGCCACACAGGGAAGATATGGAAGCTCTGACTGGGTGACAAGTTACAGCCTGATGTTCAGCGACACAGGGCGCAACTGGAAACAGTACAAGCAAGAAGACAGCATCTGGGTAGGACATCTTTCTCTCTTCTCATGAATAAAACTGGTGGTACTAATAGTAATGAGTGGCCTTCTGTCATTTCCCCATACCTCGATTGTTGGTAGCTTAAGAATAGTTGAGAGCTCATTCAGAAATAATTAGATACCATATAAACTCTATCTCCAGCATAGCTTTACTTGCTAGGGAAATCAGTAGACTGCTGTAAAGAGCTTACTGGGTTCCTCCATTGCTAGCAACCTGAAGAACTTGCTGATTGAGTTTCCCTTTTTATTTCTTTAAAACAAGAGAGAAACATATAACCAGTCAGATTGTTAATGCAATCATTTAGTTCTACTAAGTTTGTATCTATCATTTACTTATCATATGTCAGTCATTTCAGATATTGTAGCTTTTCACCTGTCTGGAGTAGAGCAATGCTGTTCTTTTGTTAGGGGACTCCATAGCCAGGTATGACTTCAAAGCCACTATGCTGATCAGCCTTGCATGGAAGATTTGAAAACCACCTGAGAGTGTGAAAAAAATGTTTAGAATTATCCTGTCATTGTAAGCAATGTTAGCCTTATAGCAATACGAAGTTTTCTACCAGGTATAAAACATGCTTTTCCTTAATTCTAGCTCCACACTTTGACTTCAAAGTATGAAATGGTCGTCAGATAACAAAGTGAAAAGAAAATAGGCATTACCTATATCTGTCTTCACAAACTGCTGCTTTGAGTGAAGTAACATATTAGGTTGTTACTTTTAGTTTAGGGGGAAATGATCATTTTTTAAAATGTAATTGTACTTAAAATGTGAAAATTTGGCTATTGGTAATGAGTTCTTTCCTTCTCAATATCTCCCCAGTTGTCACCCCCTTTAAATGAATGACAGACAATGAAGATTTGTGTCATTGTTTGCATTTGCAAAATCCTGTGTGAGCCCTACTTTGTTGAAAACAGTCTTAGAATTATGATATTAAATAAAATAATTATTAGAAATTTAATAACATATTGTCATTGGTCAATTATCTACTTTTCATTTGAGGCTCTAGATGAAAATTATACTAAGCAGATTTATTCAATCTATCTTTACTCAGGCTTTTGTATTAAGGGTGTGTGTGTGTGTGTGTGTGTGTGTGTGAGTGTGTGTGTGTGTGTGTGTGTGTGTGTGTACACACATATGCATAGCTAGGATTACATGTGTAAGCCACCAGTGCCTGACTTGTTTTAGATTCTAATATTCTTATGGGACTTGATTTTTCTTCCATTTAAAAAAGGGCTTTGAGGGCTATTTTTTTTCTCAATGCTGAAGTCCCCAAAGATTTTTGTAACAGATTTTTGTTTGGTTTGTTTTTTAGTTTCAAGTGAGAAATAGTCACACCTTCCACTTTAAGGAACAATTTTAAGATTTTATGTTGACTGTAGAGGGACGGATAGATGTGAGGTTATTTATTTTCTCTGGCATTTTCAATCAGAACTGGTTGTTTTTATGGATGGAGTTGCAGTTTTGAGTTATTTTGTCTCAATTTTTTTTAAAAAACAACAAGTTTCATTTTCTTCAGAAGCAAATGACCTGCTTTCAGCCTACCTTTGGATCAGGATGTATTTAAAGGGACGACAATTTTTCTAGGCTTGAGAAAGAGCTGGCAGAAGGCCCCTTTGACTTCAAAGCCTCATTGGTTTATATTTGTTTCCAAATGATTCCAAGCTTCTTCAAGACAGGAGTCTTTTGGTCATATGTTCATGCAGCCTGATTTTCCTTGATACATGGGACTACATTTTATGTGGTGATTAAAAGCACCACAGTAATTCACAGAGCTCTTAGACCTAGTGAGAGGGAGGGACTGTCCTCAAGCCCCACTTTCTACCACAAGCATCCATAACATTTTAGACAAATAAGTAAAAATATTTTGCAAGGAGAACAGAAAAGGTAATGATCTTGGGTGCAAAGAGACACTGATTTCCAGCTCTATTTTCCCCAAGGATGCTCCCAGTGTGGTGCCTGCAGGGATGCTGGAAGACTGGAAGCTTTAGGACCAGTTCATCAGTTATATATACCATGAAAAGAAATGATTCAAGAATGGGTTATCATAATTTCTACCTCCAAGAGTAAAATACAATGATATTCAGTAGGACCTCCAGGGAAAATCATTTATAATATCTAGGTGACAATATGGGAAAGTGGAGTCGACTTAAAGTAGTATTGAGGAAATGAACAACTGCTGCAGACCTATTGCAGATTAAATCTGTAAACAAATGTCAAATATCCTTGTGTGTATGTGTGTGAGAGTGAAAGAGAGAGGAGAGAGAGAGAGAGAAAGAGAGAGAAAGAGAAAGAGAAGAGAGCAACACACAAAAAGACATTCTGTAAACTCTGGTGATTTAATATTCCCATTAATAGGGAATTTTTTTTGCTGTTGCTCATGTTGGGAGGAGCCCACAAAGTGCTTCTGGTGTTTGAGTGTTGTCTCTCAAGTGCAAGCAATATCTGCCCATTTTGCAGTTCCACTGCTGGCTGTTGCCTCTGTAGCCTCCTTGAATTCTATCTATCTGTGTGCTTATGTGACCACCCTGAATCCTCTAACAGATTTTAATAGCCCAGGATGTTTTCTGATTGGTTTGTCTCTACTACAATTGTGTGTTTAGGAAGTGACACTTTATTGTTCTAGTGCGACAACATTCTGACTAATTCCTAATCAGGTCCTGTCTGCAAAACTTCTCCTGTGGGTCATGGAAAATTATTAGAACTGATGGTGTTAGAAATGGGCAAAAGAAAGTTATTTTAAAACAAACAAACAAACAAAATCTCTCTTTTGGACCTGCTGTAGGCCAGTATGTTATTCAGGAGTTCTGTGTCCTTAGGTAATTTTATACCTATAAGAAAGTCTTGAAGCCAGGCACAAATGCCTACAATTCTAGCTCCATATGAGGCTGAGAACTGAAAATCCAATTTGAATCCAGCCTGAGCAGGAAACCCTGAGAGATTTTTATCTTGAATTAACTACCCAAAACCAAGAAATAGAGCTGCGGTTCAAGTCTCAGAGTACCATCCTTGAGAGAAAAAGCAATGTGAGGGCATCCAGGCCTTGAGTTGAAGCCCCAAAATCAGTACAAAGGAGAAGGCGGAAGAAGAAGAGAGGAGGAGCAGGAGGAGTAGGAGGAGATAGAGAAGGAGGAGGAGGAGAAAGGAAAAAAAGAGGATGGATACACAAATTGCTCAACCAGAAACGATGGTACTTTAATCTTTCTAGAAATATCTGATAGTAATATTGCTGTGTCTTCTTTCACACATTTACTTTTTTAAAAAATTCACAATTTTTGGGCTGGGAAGGTGGCTCAGTGGTAGAGTGTTTGCCTTGCATGCATGAGGCCGGGGTTCAATTCCTCAGCATCATATAAACAGAAAAAGTCAGAAGTGGCACTGTGGCTCAAGTGGTAGAGCGCTAGCCTTCAGCTGAAGGCCTGAGGGACAGCACCTAGGCCCAGAGTTCAGGCCCCACAACTGGAAAAAATAAAAAATCACAATTTTCTTTTTACTTTTCTCATTTGAAATGTTAATCTTGTGAGACTTACTGTGTAAAAATATATAAACCCTCCTGTTTAATAATGCATTGCTGGGGTTGGGAAGGTGGCTCTGTGATAGGTTGCTTGCCTTGCATGCATGAGGCCCTGGGTTTGATTCCTCAGCACCACGTAAGCAGAAAAGTGGGGCTGTGGCTCAAGTGGTAGAGTGCTAGCCTTGAACTGAAGCGCTGATGGACAGTGCCCAGGCCCAGATTTCAGGCCCTGTGACATAACTGACAAAAATAAAATAACACATTCCTAATTATATAGGTAAAACAAAAATAGAAATGGCATCTAACTGTATTGTGTACATAGCTTAGTTTCTAAATTCTGGAACAGTAAAAAAATATACCAGACTGTGTCTCAAGGACATTTTTTGGATATCAAATTTTATATTATTCTTTTTAAATTTTTTATTTTTATTATAAAGTTGATATACAGAAGACCAAATATTTATAAACATTTCATAAAATATGTTCACTGTGCTTCATGGATAATATTCATTGGTATTTGCTTCAGGTTATATTGATGGATGAAATAGATTAAAATTTTTATTCTGTATTTTTGTTGTCAGTTTCAAGTTAGTAGCAAGTTTATAGATTCATCAGTGTTAGGTCATATAGTAAAATAAGAGCAATAGACAAAAGAAGGTTTTGGTTCTATTAACACTTCAGATATATCCAATACCTGTCTAGCAAAAACTTAATTAAGGATGGCTCATTAAGTACATGGAGAATCTTTTGAGCATATACATCACTTGCTCTTTGTGGAAAGCTTCAATTTTTAGAACTATGCCGGGTTTGCTCATGCCTGTAATACTACCTACTAAGGAGATGGAGATCTGAGGACTGCAGTTTGCGGCCAGCTCAAGCAAACAAATCAGTAAGATTTCTATCTCCAATATACCAACAAAAATCCAGAAATGGAACTGTGGTTTAATAAAAGCTAAGGGTGTGTTTGGGGGCCTCATTACTATTACTACGTCTACTATTCTCTCTCTCTCCCCTCTTTCTCTCTCTCTCTCACTCCCTCTCTCTCAAACACACTCACATACACACACAGAACAAAACAATACTTTTTATAATGCTTACTAAAAAATAGTTTTCTAAGCAATGTAAACTAAATACATAATATAGATGGGACTTTAAATTACCAGTACCAAAAGATTTACTTCATTTCACAATGTTCACTTCAATGCACGAATAAAAAGATACCTTTATGATGTGTAAGAGTGAAACTTCATGCCCTAAAAATCCAATTTGGAGAGTTTCTGATCTAGCACTGAATGGAATGATCATGAACGAGGCCACCAAGCAGCAGCTTGGTGATGCATCATGATTTATGAACAACCCGAAGCTCCTTGCTTCACTAAATAACCAGGCGTGAAGGTGTCTCAGGGACAAAGTTAGCAACAATCTTTAGAATTGGTAGCAGTTCAGAAATTCCTCCTGTTTGCAGTGCATAGAC